GGTATTCACTTTCAAAGGAGGAGGCCTATGTAAACTGATGCACCTACCCATTATCTCCAATATAATTTCCTATTCCATTCTCAATTCAAAATGATTATCAATCACCACTACCACATATTTTTATCACTGAAAAAAAAACAGTAGCAAGTTGATAGATAACATTTTATTCGTATATATTTATGCCCATCTACAGCCAGACTCTTAGCAAGATCAATGAGCAGAGAAATAGTTCATCAATGCCCTGAAGTGTCTTCCTACTCCTCTAATGAGAAAAAGACTTTTGAAAACTTAAGAAGTACCACAATTTAGTTTGGAACATGTTTTTGTTCTTTTTTTTTTCTCTAATATCCTTCTGTAATTTTTAAGACTCATTTTGTGTTTGTCTGGTTTTAATACAGTCTAAAAGTAAAATTGCTATTAGAGTAAAACTGGATAAAGAGAACCAGAAGGACAGAGAAGGTACAGAGTGAGGACAGGACGAGGAGTACAAGGGAAGGGGAAAATACAAGGAGAAAACGTCTATACAAAGAATACGAAGCCAGGTGTCATGGTCCACACCTGTCATCCCAGAACTTTGGGAAGCTGAGGCAGTAGGATTGCTTGAGCCCAGACTCAAAAACATAAGGAAACTCTGTCTCCTCAAAAAAAATTTTTTTTTAATTGGCCAGGCATAGTGGTACACATCTGTAGTGTCAGCTACTTGGTAGGCTGAGGCAGTAGGATTGCTTGAGCCCAGACTTGAAAACATAAGGAAACTCTGTCTCCTCAAAAAAAATTTTTTTTTAATTGGCCAGGCATAGTGGTACACATCTGTAGTGTCAGCTACTTGGTAGGCTGAGGTAGGAGGATTGCTTGAGCCCAGGAAGTTGAGGCCACAGTGAGCTGCGATTGCACCACTGTATTCCAGCATGGGTAACAAAGGAAAACCCTGTGGTTGTTTTTTTGTTTTGTTTTGTTTTGTTTTGTTTTGTTTTTAGTTCGACCATTGTGGAAGACAGTGTGGTGATTCCTCAAGGACCTAGAAACAGAAATTCCATTTCACCCAGCAATCCCATTTTAGTTCGACCATTGTGGAAGACAGGGTGGTGATTCCTCAAGGACCTAGAAACAGAAATTCCATTTCACCCAGCAATCCCAATACTGAGTATAGATCCAAAGGATTATAAATTGTTCTGTTATAAGGACACATGCACATATATATTCATAGTGGCACTGTTTACAATAGCAAAGACCTGGAACCAACCCAAATGCTCATCGATGATAGACTGGACAGGGAAAATGTGGCACATATACACCACAGAATACTATGCAGCCATAAGAAATGATGAGTTCATGTCCTTTGTAGGGACATGGATGAACCTGGAAACCATCATTCTCAGCAAACTGACACAAGAACAGAAAATCAAACACCGCATGTTCTCACTCATAGGCGGGTGTTGAACAATGAGAACACATGGACACAGGGAGGGGAGCATCAGACCCAGGGGTCTGTTGTGGGGGACTAGGGGAGGGATATGGGAGGTAGGGAGTTGGGGAGGGATAACATGGGGAGAAATGCCAGATATAGGTGATGGGGATGCAGGAAAAAAAGAGAGAGAGAGAGAGAGAAAGAAAGAAAGAAAGAGAAAAAATGAGAAGACTACTTAGCCTCTGTTCTAGAGAACTGACAGACTACAGCCAGTCCTGATACACTTGTGTGGGCACACTGGCCCTACCTAACATTAGGTCCTCAAAACATCAGTGCCTAGTGGCTACCATTTACTGAAAATTCTAAAACACTATGCATCTGAACTTTCTGCACTGATGGAAATACTTTATTCTGTGTTGCCCAGTCTGGTAATCATCAGTCACATGTGACTGCTCAACACTCAACAGTTACTGACTAGCATAACTGAACTAAATTTTAATTTCATTTCACTTAAATCAATCTAGATTTAAATAGCCACATGTGGCTAGTGGCGACTGGATTAGTCAGCGCAGGTCTAGAATGCAGGAATCCAATCACTTTCATGGGCTAGTTTTGAAATTTCACCAAGCTATTCATTTTATTTACATTTCATAGATATTATATGTATTAATTCACCAAGTTTCACAGCAGAGACAGTTCTTGTTACCTGCCCCATTTCTCGCATTTCACTTTTATAATTATCTGACTCATTCTAGGTTGACTGTCTCTCTGCTGGACCAGAAGTTCTATAAGAAGAGCACTGGTGGGCCTGTCTTATTCTCCACTAACGGGGCCAGACACACTTGCTGACCCATCAGACACCTAAAAAGCAAGTCAAAAAGGAAGCTTCTCTCCTGGAAGGATCATGCATACAAAGATGTACCCAAATACCTAAGTCTCATTTAAAACAATTGTGAAGTGACACAGATTAACAATATTGTTAGTAACTAGTCCAATTTCTCTCCACTATACCTTTTACCCTACAAAAGTCAATAATATATCTCTCCACAGGGTTTACATAGTCAATATTACCTTTTTACCAAAGAAGTTATTCCACGATTTCCTTAAAATAAATCACTTCAAAACAGCTAGACGTTCCTTTTATATTTCCCTAAAAAACACATATATCTCATTTGTACCACTCATCCACTAATCAATAAATTGAATACAGGATGCCCAGACACAAATTGGTTAGAAATTGTCTATACTACCTTTCTGACTGCTTTGCTTACAAAGCAAAGGATATGTATGTAAAAGCATATATATTCATAAAGCATGTACAGTTATATATCTATATACAGTGTATAGATATCTATAACTATACACAATGAAGCATGTACAGTAAATATATCTATATCTATATAGTATATGTAGATATGCACAGTATATACATCTATACACACATCTACATGTGTGTCCACACACACAATTGAGCTTCTAATTATTAAGTCTTTTATATATATATTTTTTTTATTGCGTTTTAGGTTTGGGGGTACATGTGAAGAATATGTAGGATTGTTGCATAGGTACATACATGGCAATGTCGTTTGCTGCCTTCCTCCCCATCACCTATATCTGGCATTTCTCCCCATGTTATACCTCCGCAACTCCCCACCCCCTGCTGTCCCTCCCCTAGTGCCCCCTATAGACCTCAGTCTATCAGACCACAGTGCAATCAAGTTAGAAATCAGAATTCAGAAACTAACTCAGAACCGCACAACTTCATGGAAACTGAACAACTGGCTCTTGAATGTTGACCGGATAAACAATGAAATGAAGGCAGAAATAAAGATGTTCTTTGAAACCAACGAGAATGAAGACACAACATACCAGAATCTCTGGGACACATTTAAAGCACTGTCTAAAGGAAAATATATAGCAATAAATGCCCACGAGAAGCAAGGAAAGATCTAAAATCGACACCTTGTTGCCAATTATTGTCTTTTATCATATGTTCTATCTACCTACCTAGTTCTATGCCGCCTCCACCCCAATATTTTTTTAAGAGATGAAATCTCACTCTATTGCCCAGGCTAGAGGGCAGTGGTATGATCAAGGCTCTCTGCAGCTTTGACCTCCAGGGCTCAAGCAATCCGCTCACCTCAATCTCCAGAGTAGCTAGGACTACAGACATCCACTACTATGCCTGGCTAATTTTCTAATTTTTATTTTTGTAAACATTGCAGGGGCAGTCTTGCTACATTGCCCAGGCTGGTCTTGAACTCCTGAACTCAATCAATCCTCCTGCCTTGGCCTCCCAAAGTGCCAGGACTATAGGTGTGAGCCACAGCACCTGGCCAATCTAATTCTACTCTTAAAGCCATGTAATTATGGTAGTCAAAAAGTATAGGATTAGAATTCGCTCTTTTCTACTTTCTAGATATACAGTTTTGGGTAAATTACTTAAACCTTCTAGGCCTCAATTTCCCTACCTGAAAGCAACACCCAATTTCATGAGGTCTGTTGAGAGGATTAGATAGAATACTGGCAATGAAAACAACTAGAAGTGTGTCTGGTGCAAAGCAGGTGTTCTCTGTTTGCTAAATGAATAACTGATTTCACCAGGTTCTTGGAATGTATTTCAGAGGCCTACAAACCCCCTGAGAATGAATAAGAGTTCATTATATTCTAACTTAAAGTGAGCAGAGTCTGAAGATTAAAAGGCAGATTTAAAGGCAAGTCAATAACTGGTGATTGAACAAACAAAAGGAGAAAAATCAGTGTCTTAACAAAATGAGAGAACTCACTCAAAAAAAGACATTTCAGATGCCTGACACAGATCAATTGAAAGGTATCTGCTCTTTGGAAATGGTTCAACTCAGGCTATCACTGTGGAATCATAATTGTTTATATTTTCCATAACTGTGGCTAATCCATAGTCTATTTATAATCTTTAGGGCATTACAATGTACAAGACCACTCACTATTCAGCCTCTGTATCAGTCCATGCTCACACTGCTATGAAGATATACCCAAGACTTGTTATTTAGTTTACTTATAGTTCCGCAGAGCTGGGAAGGCCTCAGGAAACTTACAATCATGGTAGAAGGGGAAGCAAACATATCCTTCTTCACACAGCCACAGCAAGGAGCAATGCCGAGCAAAGGAGGCAAAGCCCCTTATAAGACCATCAGATCTCACAAGCACTCACTTACTATCGCGAAAACAGCGTGGGGGAAACCGTCCCCATGATTCAATCATCTCCACCAGGTCCCACCCTTGACGTGTGGGAATTATTACAATTCAAGGTGAGATTTGGGTTAGGAAATAGCCAAACCATATCGGCCTCCAGATTTCACACTTGGTAAATTTTATTTCTGGCACTTTTGTCTACTCTAAAGCTTCTTCAGCACCCAAGATGGTATATGTAAATAGAACTGAGAAAAACGACAGCTTTACCAGTTTGTATAAAAAATCCAAAGGTATGTTGCAATGAAGCGCTCCTTGAAAAGTTAACCTCTATTTTGTTGCTAGACTCCCTGGTAGGGAATATATAAGGAGTCAAGATCCTCATAAAGAATGTCAGTAGGAAGATGATGGCAGTCATCCATACCTCAGCTTCCTGCAGGGTCCCATGGTTTAGGCACACCATGTCAGGGCAAGTGATGGGAGACCCACATCCCTCTCGGATTGCCAGCTGCATGTACTGTTTCAGGCACTGGAAGTTAAGGAAAAAAAAAAAAAACAGACAATTATGCATCCCATTACAGTAGCACAAATGTTACATAGCAGAACAGTAACCGCCTCTTCTTCCCTAATTGGCTGTCCTAAGGCTCTTATACTCAAGAAACGTAAGTTGTCACAAGTGTGAATACTAAGAGCCATCACTTTGGAAAGAATGCAGAGACACACAATTAATTATGCATGACTTCATCTTAAGAGTCTATTTAAGTCAGGCTTCCCTATGCTCACACATTTCAGCCACTATAGATTAAGAAAAGAAAAAAACTCTATTTTCTAATGCTAAAGGCCTCCTCCTCCTTTAAAAAACAAAAACAAAAACCCTATATGAATTCTTAATTCCATTTTTACCTAGTGGTTCTCTCCATCAAAGTTTGCCCAAAAGTAGAACAGGATGCTGGGACCCTTGCACTGAGCTAGCCACACAAAGTAAGCTTAAGACAGGGACATTTCTAGAACCACTTTTTTTTTTTGAGACGGAGTCTTGGTCTGTCACCCAGGCTGGAATGTAGTGGCGCAATCTCCGCTCACTGCAACCTCCACCTCCCTGGTTCAAGCGATTCTCCTGCCTCAGCCTGCCAAGTAGCTGGGATTACAGGCACCCGTCACCATGCCTGGCTGTTTTGTTTTGTTTTGTTTTGTTTGTATTTTTAGTAGACACAGGGTTTCACCATATTTGCCAGGCTGGTCTTGAACTTCTGACCTGTGATCTGCCCACCTCAGCCTCCCAAAGTGCTGGCATTACAGGCGTGAGCCACGACACCTGGCCAGGATCACTCTTAAAAGCAAATGCACCTGGAAAATACAATGTCAAATTTGGTAAAGTCAGGTGACTTCCTGCTGACTGGGATATCAAAGACAATTTTCTTCCCAAAGACAATGAGACACACTGTCCCAAAGACATTATCCCAAAGACAATGAGATCTTCCCAAAAATATGGGCCTTGGTGGATGCCATATTAAGGAGGTAAAAAAAGACATTGGTCACCTAGGAAAAGAAGAAATTGAATAAAAAGAAACCCAGAGAAGAAATTGAATAGAAAAGTGAAATCCAGAGTAGAAATTGAATAGAAAAATGAAACCCAGAGAAGGAATTGAATATAAAAAAGAAATCCAGAGAAGAAATTGAATTTAAATAAAGAAGCCAGAGAAAAAATTAAATGAAAAAAAGAAGCCCAGAGAAGAAACTGAATTTTAAAAAAAGAAACCCAGAGAAGAAAAGAAAAAAGAAATCCAGAGAGAAGAGGGAGAACATCAGAAACAAAGTTGATCTGCTCATTGCCTGTTGTGTCTGGATGTTGGACAGTGGGTGGAGATGGGAGTCTGACTTCGAAGTTAGGAGAGGGACTGACAGCTTTACGGAAACCTCTAACACCTCCCCCTGTTCCTCTCTACCCATCCGCACACACCCACAAGAAATTGAAGGCAAAACGTCCAGGAAATAAACCTCTAAGTAATCCAAAATTGGTTCTTCAACTTCTACTAATTTGCTTATAATTGGTAAACCCCTTCTACATGCATGACCAAAACAGTCAAGCTCAAATGTTTGCTGAGTACATTTTACCAAAAATACATAAGCCAGCCAATGAAGCAACGACTTTTACAAAGTGGTGATTATTTACAACTGGGTTTAGAGTTTTAAAATTTATACATTTGCGTATCAACTTGCTGCACTGAAAAATTTCTGCTGCACCGACCTTTTATAAAAGCAAAAACCAAAAGTAAAATTCTAGGGTCAGAATGCTGACGATGTAATTGTGAAACCTACCCCTGTTATTGACCATCTTTACTCATTTCTCCCTCTGCAAATAAAACTAATATCACTATTATATTACTTCAGAAAAACAGTCACCTGTTTACCTGACTGTAAATGGCTGTTACAATGTATTGCTGAATCAATGACTAGGGCAAACCATTTAAACCAGATTTGTATCTCTTCAAATAGATAACAGTTTTCTTCTCCAAGGAGTTAATTTTTTCTACAATATTCATCACAGCAAAAACTAGAAAATAACCTAAATCCTAAAAATATAACATTTAAATAAATGTTGCTAAATTTATGCGATAGACTGTGCAGAATCATGAAAAATGTCTTCAAATGATATTTAAAAGACACGAACAAATGCTCATGATTTAGTATAAACTGAGGAATAGAAGGTATCTTATCTGGGAACAGGGATCCTCCATAGTCACTCCTCCCTTGCACTTGACCACCATATAGATACTGTGTTTTAACCTTGACTTTCTTGTTCAATAGAAGGGTGAAAAAAAATCGCTCACTCTAGGATTCACTGTGCCAAACATGATATCCAGCAGCAGCAATGGGACATAGAAGAGAGCAGCAGCAAGGAAATATGGGGAAGAACGTCAATGGCCAGGAGATCCCCCAGGGGAACAGTCAGGGCGGCTCACCAAAAGGAGTGTCATGCCAGGGACAAATGAATAAACAACGTGAAAGCCCGTCCATCCTGTTCTGCTTCTGAGGACACCTCAGCCTTCCATCAGGCACACCTGTTCCGTTGTTACTGCCTTGATCTTCCCTCTGACCCCCGGCAGCCACTTAAAGAAAGTTAAGTAAAAGATGGAAAGGTATGGTCTCCAGGCTCAAGGGGAAGGTGTTTGAGGAAAACAAAGTCAACAGTGCAAAGGGCTTCAGATCATAATACCTGGGTGAAGGACCCACTTTACTAGGTGACAATGGGAAAATGACTTAGCCTATGACCTAGACTTGCCTCCCTTAATTTAAAAAGTAGGGACAATAATATCTGTTACAGTTACCTCACAGGGTTTCACACACACACACACACACACACACACACACACACACACACACGAAATTTATATATGGAAGCCCTTCATGAATTTGCAAATTACATAATAATGGGTCATGTTATTACTCCTCTTCTCCTGGTCTTAGACTTCCCATCAAAGACTTTGGGGGGAAATGCTAATCCTTTGGCCTTCTGAGATAGCCTTTCTCCACTCCCTGCAATGGACCTGTGAAACCACTTAAGGTGGAGAAGCTGTGTAGACTGAACAGATATTTGTAACAGAATATTCCAGGTGCCTCTATGCAAGGCTCTTCTTAGAAATATTTGGATCTACAGCATAAGCTTAGCATTAAATAGGAACTAAAGATACTATGTGAGTCTTTACAGGCAAACATGTTCATTTCAAATATAACTACAAATGTGTTAAGTTGAAATATACACCTTCCCAAGAGCTTAAAATGGGTATGCCTCTTACTAATAATACGATGTTCCTAGGTGCACTACAGACTGCAATATATCAACTTAATGAATTTTGAAACTTCCTGTAAGCACTCTCCTGGCCACAATATTATGTGACCCATGATTTTCAGTGAGAAATTAGAGCTCTGTGCACTGACTCCAGGGTTTAAGCACATACACCCTTTGTTTTTAATGCTAAGAAACACTGGTTCAAGATAGAGATTTGCAAGAGCAGGTTGCTAAGTGACCCTACAGCACAGGCACTTGAAACCACCAGTGTGGGCATGCCTTCCTATTCAAAGGCAGAGGGAAGACAACCGGCCCCAGTTACTGCTTCTTACTGAATTTTCAAGTACCGAGGTTTCTTATATGCCATCCATTAACTTTCACTAAAATATTTAATCTCAGACTGTCCCTCTCTTCTTCTGTATCTCTGGCTAAAAAGTGCAAAATAATTGAAAACATTCACATGAATCACATGTACCTGTCATACAAAACATAGGTAAATGGTTAACAATTGTAGAGAAAAAACTAGCATCTAGCTTATAAAGAGAGAAACGGAAAATAAAAACAGATTATAGCAATGCAAGAATGGCAAAATAAAATAAATACTAAAAATAAAACTACCATCACTTAGTCACATTTTGAAAATTACATTTACTAAGTATTCGATAGATATTTAAATATGCAATTTTCTTAACAGGTAACAAATTGCAAGAAAAATGTTTCAAGTAGAACATCTCAAAAACCAAGATGACCCAAGGGAAAAAAAAAAAACCTTTTTCTTTGGAATAGTCAACACTTTACTTAGTTTGGTAAAACACAGAATTATTTTTAGGCCATGAAGGGTCACGCAAAATAACAAGGATTGTTCGTCAAACTCAGTTCACAACTTAAAGATTCATATGAGATCTAACCACAAATTTAACCATCCAACGCCTGGTGAACCAGATGACTTGCATTGTCTCTTCCAACTCTGAGAGTCTATAATTTGTATGCAATGGAATCCTCTCAGAAACAGGTTTCTCCTAGACCCCTTTCAAGGGTATTAGTTTCCAATGTACCAAAGTCATGGGCATTCTTCATATAAGGCGTTCTCACCTATTATGATGGACATGGAAAAAGGGTCACAGTGTTAAGACAGAGCTACTATGTACCCACCCAGGAACAAATCACAGGAGTGGGCAGGGAATATAGGCATATTTTTAAAAACTTCCTATATAGTTCCTCATTCTCTATCACTAGATTGTACCTTTCTAAAAGGTTTTTTTTTTTTTTTTCTAAGAAAACATAAAGCATTATAATGAATAGCCAATGGAACTGGATTCTAACCATCCAGGTTGAAGCACAAACTCCAAAGTCTCCTCTGCATATTGAGGAAGTCATTAACCTCTCTAGCTACGGTGCTGTCATTTATAAAATGGGACAATATCACCTGACTAGGCTGCTCTCAGGGAAATGGAGAGTCCCCCATTCACTCTGAAGAGTAAAAAGAGGTATGCATCATCTCACATTGAGGCCAATATTCTGTTTATTCCACTTCAGACTATGATCTCTACACACGATCCAAGAATAAAGCTGCCTTTGTTAGATGCCATTGAATTAAAGTCTAATTGGAGAATAGAACGGATGTTTCTGAATAGGCAGGCATGCAGAAATGAAAATCCACAGACTAACAGGAACCTTAGAAAAGCCTCATGAGGGTGGGGCAAATAGGTAAGAGGAGAATAGGTACTGCTGAGAGGAAG